AACATAACACCCCAGACTTAACAACTGTCGATAAGAAAGACAAAAAAGTCTGGAGAGTGGACGTGGCAGTGCCTGGAGACAGCAGAATAGAAGAGAAAGAACTGGAGAAGACAACAAAATACAAAGACCTACAAATAGAAATAGAAAGACTGTGGCAAAAGCAAGCAAGGGTAGTACCAATAGTCATAGGCTCCTTGGGTGCAATCCCAAAACAACTGGAGCACCACTTGAACACAATTGGCATTGACAAATTCACTATTAGTCAATTGCAAAAGGCGGCCTTATTAGGAACTGCTTCCATCCTGCGACGATATATGTAATACCATCAAACATCCACATCTGCCTATCCCAGGTCCTGGGTAAGGACTCGATAGGTAGACAAAATGCCAAATCCAGTCTGAACATCTGGCTGACTGTGCGATGATCCATATAATAATAATAATAATAATAATAATAATAATAATAATAATAATAATAATAATAATAATAAAGTTGGAAGGGACCTTGGAGGTCATCGAGTCCAACCCCCTGCTCAGGCAGGAACCCTATACCATTTCAGACAAATGGCTGTCCAGTCTCTTCTTAAAAACTTCCAGTGTTGGAGCATTCACCGCTTCTGGAGGCAGGTTGTTCCACTGGTTAATTGTTCTCACTGTCAGGAAGTTTCTCCTTAGTTCTAGGTTGCTTCTCTCTTTGGTTAGTTTCCACCCGTTGCTTCTTGTCCAGCTCTCAGGCGCTTTGGAAAATAGTTTGACTCCCTCTTCTTTGTGGCAGCCCCTGAGATATCGGAACACTGCTATCATGTCCTCCCTCATCCTTCTCTTCGTTAAACCAGATATATCCAATTCCAACAGCTGTTCCTTATATGCTTTAGCCTCCAGTCCCCTAATCATTTTTGTTGCTCTTCTCTGTACTCTTTCTAGAATCTCAACATCTTTTTTATACAAGTTAAGGAAAATGGCTGCATCTCCATATGTTGTCAAAGCAAGAACATTCGATGTTAGCAGCATTGACAATATCCTTATGCTAGCTATACTTTGCATTATTACATATTGTATGTATATAACAGTACATTATTAACATAATAGCATTGATACATTAATGTGTATATATAATATTAATGTAACATTAATGTATGTACACATTATTATGTATATATATGTCTGTGTGTTTGTGTCTGTGTGTGTTGTACATGATTAAGACACGTCTCCTTGGATTCCTTAACACTCTTAAAACAAGTGATGTGGCAAGCCTATATTCAGTAGAAAAGACTGAAATAAGATAGATGTCATTTTGTCGACATTTCCTTTTCCTTGTCCTTTTTCTTTTGGATGAACTGACTCCAGGAATTAGTTATTCCCCTGATCCTTTCCCTATTTAATTCAATTTCTGGCCTTTAATCCATCAGGCTTCTTGAATGTAAATTTCACACACTGCACTCACTAAAGTTACCTGCTTGCAGATGGGTAGGGCAGGTGTTGTTTGAAGTACACGGGACCATCTGGCAGCTGACTTCACCACCAATGCCCTAAATGAATGAGAGAAAATCTCTCATTAGATCGAGTTACAACCTGCTGCTCAACATTAAAAAAACTAAGATCATGGCATCCGGCCCTCTCAATTCCTGGCAAATAGATGGGGAAGAAATGGAGGTCGTGGCAGATTTTATTTTCCTAGGCTCCAAGATCACCTCAGATGGGGACTGCAGCCAAGAAATTAAAAGACGCTTGCTCCTGGGGAGGAAAGCTATGGCAAATCTAGACAGCATACTAAAAAGCAGAGACATCACCCTGCCAGCAAAAGTACGTATAGTCAAGGCCATGGTTTTCCCAGTTGCAATGTATGCAAGTGAAAGTTGGACCATACGAAAGGCTGAGCGCCAAAGAATGGAGGCCTTTGAACTATGGTGCTGGAGAAGACTACTGCGAGTCCCCTGGACTGCAAGGTGATCAAACCGGTCAGTCCTAGAGGAGATCAACCCTGACTGTTCTTTAGAAGGCCAGATCCTAAAATTGAAACTCAAGTACTTTGGCCACCTAATGAGAAGGAAGGACTCACTGGAGAAGAGCCTAATGCTGGGAAAGATTGAGGGCAAGAGAAGAAGGGGACGACAGAGAATGAGGTTGCTGGATGGAGTCACTGAAGCAGTAGGCGTGAACTTGAATGGACTCCAGAAGATGGTAGAGGACAGGAAGGCCTGAAGGAACGTTGTCCATGGGGTCATGGGTCGGACACGACTTCGCAATTAACAATAACCTGCTGGATATTTTCTCCTTGCTTTCCACTTGCATCAAGTCTCTGAATTAGACAGGTGGATCAAAAAGCACATCCCGTAACATAGCAATGAGCTTGCATTGCTATGCTGGCTTTTAACAGTCATAGACTATTTTTTTTAAAAAATTGTACCTCTCTCTTAAAGTACGTGAACCTTCCATTTTTACACAACCTTAAGCTTGTCTTTGGTCACAAACCAGTACAGGTAGTCCTTGACTTAAAACAATTCATTTAGTGACCATTCAAAGCTACAACGGCACTGAAAAATGTGACTTATGATCATTTTTCACACTTACGACCATTGCAGCATCCCCATGGTCACGTGATCAAAATTCAGACGCTTGGCAACTGACTCGTATTTATGACGATTGCAATGTCCTGGGGTCATGCGATCAACTTTTGTGACCTTCTGACAAGCAAAGTCAATGGGGAAGCCAGATTTGCTTAACAGACATGTTATTAACTTAACTGCAGTGATCCACTTAGTAACTGTGGCCAGAAAGGTCATAAAATAGGGCAAAACTCATTTAACAAATGTCTCACTGAGCAATATAAATTTTGGGCTCAATTGTGGTTGTAAGTTGAAGACTACCTGTACATTTTAACAAAATCTCTGGGTCGCCCTAGTTTTTTTTTTTTTAAAATGAATTAACCATTACAATCCCACCCCAGTGAATTAAAGCATACGTTTTCACACCTTTTTCAGGTGTCTCCAAACCTGGCCACTTTAAGACTTGTGGGCTTCAACGGCCAGAATTTCTCAGCCAGCCCGATCGAGCTGATAAACAAATTGAATTAAAGGCCATTAATATTTCACTGTAAGAATACTTGATGTTTTGTGTGTGTGTGTTGAGAAAAAATGTATATATCTTAACAAAGGTAACTCACCATGTTTGCCAATTAGAATAAATTTTAAAAAATAATAATTGTGTAATGTTTTTGTTTTCCCAGCAGATGGCAGATGCTGGCTTTTTCTGGTCTCAGCAGCTAAACAGGAGTTGTATGGGGACCATCTGGATATATAATAAGATTGTGAAGTAAAGTAAGGAGTAAAAATCTCAAAACAAACGGGTGACAGCAATGGCAAATTAATTCCTTAGCATTGCCAAGGAAATGGTACAATGGTGTGCTGTCAACAGTATTCAAGATTTGCATAAGCTATGGAGCCAGCTGTTTATTTATATAGAATAGAATAGAGCAGAATAGAATAGAATAGAATAGAATAGAATAGAATAGAGCAGAATTGAATGGAATAGAATAGAGCAGAATGGAATGGAATAGAATAGAATAGAATAGAATAGAATAGAATAGAATAGAATAGAGTGGAATAGAATAGAATAAAATAGAATAGAGCAGAATAGAATGGAATGGAATAGAATAGAATAGAGCAGAATAGAATAGAGTAGAATAGAATGGAATGGAATGGAATGGAATAGAATAGAATAGAATAGAATAGAATAGAGTGGAATAGAATAGAATAAAATAGAATAGAGCAGAATAGAATGGAATGGAATAGAATAGAATAGAGCAGAATAGAATGGAATGGAATGGAATGGAACGGAATATAATAGAATAGAATAGAATAATACTTTATTTGATCAAGTGTGGTTAGAAACATAAATATTCTTTTCAGCTTAAAAAAGGTTATTTATTACAGCTTCCTTATGGAGGAATCAAGTTCAGAGACAGCCTTGCAAGATACTATGTGAAATAAATCTTCACATAGAGTCACCTTGCGGTGAGATGCGCAGGAAATAAATTTAATAAATAATAAATAAATCCTACATTTCATCAACCTTATTGGATGAAAAATGGTTCCAAAAACTTATTTGCTCCTAACCATATAGCTTTATCATTTAATACCCAACTTAATATCCTTCTTCCCTGATTTAATAGCTAACTTGGATTTTTACACTTTATTTTTCTTATTTTTAAAATCTTTTATCTATTGCTCGGTATATGTCTTTTTTCTGTATAAGCCTGTGCTTCTGATTCCTTAGGCCAATTTTTGATTTATTGACATGTAAATATATACTTCTATTAGACTGTTTTCTGCTGGACCCAAATTTGAAATATTAACAGACAATGTACACATTTTTTGCCAAGATGATGCAATTATGAGCAGAGATATCTTACAAAGCAGTCAGGAGCTATTCCTTAACACACACACACATACACATACGCGCACACACACACAGAGGGGGGAGAGAGGGGGGAGAGAGATTTTATAAAAGGGGTAGTGTTAGCCCAGTCTATCTTAGTAATGGCCAGTAGAGAAATAGTAATTCTGTATTATAGAACTTTTATGCAGCCTGAAGCACATAAACAACATTAGTCAAGACGAAGCAGAAAGCTAACGCTACCTCATTTCGAATACTCCTTAAAGTTGCCCTGTCAGCTTTTGGGGAGCCCTGCCTCACTTGTTGATGAAACTGAAATCAAAATCATCACAGTCGTTAGACGTATCAAAACATTTTCATTTTGCCTCCCTTTCAAAACAACCCCCCCAAAAAATCCGAGATGAAACTCAGGCAATAAGCTTCGAGGCTTGACAGTCTCTCTCTCCCCCCCCCCCCTCTCCTCCTCCTCCTCCTCTTGCCCCGCCCGGCGCCCCCTGTGGCGAGGCGGAGCGAAGCGGCGCGTGTGTGGCTGCCGGTCCTTTTCCAGGCCACGCTGCCGGGGGGGGGGGGCGAGGGCGGGGAGGGAGTTCGGGACTGTTTGTACCCGCCCGTCTGCTGTTGTATCAAAAGAGCCGCTCGGAGGGGCTGACGGCTTCTCCTCCTTCTGGCTGCCTGTTCGGCGCTGCGCTCAGTTGCTGTCCTTTCACTTTTTTGCTTGACGGTTCAGTGGCGGGGGCAGCTTCTGGACTCGGGCCGCGCTCCCTTCCTGGCAGTAGCCCCTCTTCTGGCGGAGAAGCGGGAATCCTCGACAGAAGCCCTCAGCTCCGGGCAAAGGAGCGCACCGCCTGCCCGGGACTCTCAGCCGTCGGCCGTTGCGCGCCACAGGTTGCCGTCCTCCTGGGGCCCCCGCCGCAACTGCCGCATGAGGTTCGCTGGGCGACGGGCAAATTTCCGGGGAAGCTGCGCCGCTCTCTCGTTCCGTCGCCGGTCCCCGCAGCCCCGTCTCCCTGCCGCCGGGGCCATGAACTCCTCGCTGGGCAACCAGACGGAGGTGCTGGGGCTGCTGCTGGCCAACGGCACTGACTCGCTGGAGTGGGCGCTCCAGTCCTTCACGCCCAAGTCCGTGGTGACCGACGACGGCTTCGTGGTGACGGCGCCGGACGAGCGGAGCCTCTACATCATGCGGGTGGTGCAGATCGCCGTCATGTGCGTCCTGTCGCTCACCGTCGTCTTCGGCATTTTCTTCCTCGGCTGCAACCTGCTCATCAAGTCCGAAGGCATGATCAACTTCCTGGTGAAGGAGCGGAGGCCGTCCAAGGAGGTGGAGGCGGAGGCGGTGGGGCCCTACTGACCGCGGCGCCGCCCACGAGCCCGCTTGGCCTCTCCAGCCGCGGACGGGACTCGGATAGAGGACCTTGTGCTGCTCTCGCGGCTGCCGTTTCCGGAAGGCGATGCCGACCGTAGAAGCAATTCCGGGCAGGCCAGGACAAGCGACCCTGTTTCCCCGACGGGACCGGTGTATGATTAGTAGCGGGACTCTGTCCGAAGCCAACTGCGACGACTTTGGACTGGGCGCGGGGAAGGGGTTTACAGGGCTTCCCTCGACCTTCCGAACAGGTGGGGAAGAGCTCCGATCTCCACCTGCAGTGGCGACAGCGGGGGTCCCGCGGTGGGGTAAAGTGGTGGGACAGAGATGACGAAGCTCTTGAATGTCATTTGGTGTTCTGTATATAATGCTGTAAATGTCACCAGCTAAACATTTCCAATTTTGATGCTTTGTTTTCATGGGAAGGGGGAGGAGAGAGGGACAAATTGATCTTAAAGTTTAATTGTAAAAAAAAAAAAAACACTTTTACTCTCTTTTAAGATACTTTCTTTCCAGATTTGAACTGGGGGGAGGGATGGACACGTTCAATGTGAGGGGTTGAATTTGGTGCTTTGGGTGCATGGTGTCACTTTGGGCTCGATTGTCTATATAACAGAAACTCCTGTGCTGATGTGTGAATGACTGTTTTGATTCATCTATTTCTGCTGTAAAGTCTCCTTTTTAAAATGGTAGCCTCCTTTTTGTTTTTTGTTCCTATCACTTCTTGCGCAGATTGTGTGTTTGACCATTGGGCTCGTAGCTTTAGAAATCGTGTCATTTTAATTAAAAACTGCCTGAGTCTTTTCACCCAGGACTCCTGCCACAGTTTTCCACCGAAATTCAGGGAAGCCATGACCAGCATTGGAAAGATGGAGAGAGCACATACTGTCCAGCAAATCATGTCCCAAGAATGAGGAATGGGGAGAAAAGTGTTAAAAGCAATAAAGAAACGGAGAGAACAGATGATCCCCGAGTTACAACGGAACCTGTGTTTTGCTTTACAGCCACAACAACAAAAGTTAAGGTTCGGATTCTGCCTCTTCTTCGTGATCTTTATGAGGTATGGATTCAAGAGGAAAGATGTGCGGGATGATAAGGTTTCAGTTGTGGAGATGATCCATTTAGGAATATTATACAATTATTCCTAATGGAAGATAAAGAATAGCAATTCTACGAATGCAGTTATTTAGACAGCAAACCAATGATAGCAAAGCATTAATTGAATCAGACTTTGTCTCCTTAGCTGAACCAGCGATTTGAATCAAGCCAAAGAGCTGTTTTTTTTCCCTAAGCTTCTGTCTTCTTTCCTTTTGTGGAATAAGAAACAGAAGCATAGGAAAGCACTGAATATGCTTTCTTATACATTCAAACTTATAAACAAGGTAACTTCATGAAAGAAAATGACATCCCAAGTTAGAAATACTTAACAAAAACTCCGTCTCCTTTGCTTTCTTGCAGTTACCTCCCACGGCTTCGTTTTCTAATCTTTCCTTTTTTTTTTTTTAATTAAAAATACATGATTCATTTCTGTGGCATAGCATCCAATTATTCTATAACTGTATTTTAATGAGACTAGTTAAAAACTGGTGCATTTTTTTTAAGAGTAGGAAAAAAACATAGCTGCCTTCCCTTTTCATCTTCTCATTTTGCAAAGGGAAGAACATAGATTGTGCACTGGCCTCAAAGAGGGAGGCGTTGAAATAAAACATATGCCACAATAAAAATTGAACTGTTATGTTAATGGAAAGCCATGACCTAAAATAGCCTTCCCCACTTTGGTGCTCTCCAGGTATCCTGAATACAGTCCTCCTCATCCCTTGCCAGACAATGCTGGGGAGGGGCTGAGTCGAATGAAAAAGGTGAGAGGCTGTTCAAAGTGCTTGTATGCACATAAGCATGGAGGGCAATCTCAGGTATATCTTGTGCACGGAAGAGGAAATTATCACAGAAATATAACAGCAAAGGAAGCAGAAGAATAACAAGAGCAAAAAAATAAGGGATAAATGAGAAGGAATAGTGGCATAGAAAAGGCAAATTACATTTAAGTCCAATCAAGGACCGTTATCTCCCCATTTCCTTCGAACTTCCACCCTGGGTCTTGAGTTGGATGCAGTGGGGGAAAGGAAAGCAAATTTAAATTGATCAGTGTGACCTGTTAGGAGTCACAAAGCCTGAAATTACAAATCTCTGTTTTGATCTAAACAGTGTTCTTTGCCTCTACCGTTTATAAAAGAATAATCTTGCTCACACAGATTAAGTGCAAGATGCCCTTTATTCATTCCTGATGGATTATTTCTGGAAAGAATAATAATAATATCTTTTTAAAAAAAACCTCTCAATCCCAGAAGAATCCAGAAACTTGGAATGGTTGAAAGTAGAAAATACTTGAAAGAATCCACCAAGGAGCTGATTGGTTGACTCCGTAGGAAAGCTCTGGATACATTCCTAATTTCAGATGGGAAAGGATCAGCCAACGATGGAGACTTCACTGCATTGCTACACAGATGTCTTCTACGATACCACCACACATTCATGGGCTCGGGAGCATGCCACGTTTGTCAAACTGTCAAAAGTAGTGTTGTGCTGTGAGCTTTGCCTCTTTCTTATGTGCGCAATGTCACAATGCTTGCCTGCTCACACTGCAATATCATTTTTATTAACTAATTAAGTGAAGCTAAAACAAAATAAAATGAAAATGGTCTTTTTTAAAAATAAATAAATAAATTAAAGTCATTCAAAAGGGAGTACCTAAAAGAAAAGTGCTTAGCTGCCTGGAAGAGGTACACAAAGAAGCATTTGTGTTGTCTTCCAATCCTGGTATCACACTGTTGTACTTAGGGGGTCACTAGGATTGAACCCTGACACAAATTAAGGGAACATTTTGGAGAAGACCTGATTCTAGCTATTTAAAATTAGACAATTAATCAAAGAAATAAGCCCCCCGCTTTTGTTTCCTCAACCAGAAAAAAAAAAGGATACCTGGTTGAGATCTTATAATACTGTCATGCTGCCAGCTCCATTTACCGTTATGGTAACTACATAAATTATACAATATGCAGAATTCTCTGGAGAAGGAAGCAGCAAGGGATGGAAGTTCAATCACAGTAATTGTTATATGGTGTATCCTATCTAATACCTCCAGTGAACCGGGTGCTTTCTTGGTTTGAAAGATAACAGAAGATTTTTAATTTAAACTGTGCACGTCAGTATTTATGAAAGTATTAAAACTTCCCATAAATATTTTAGTTATCTTTCCATGTACTATTATATCCAGCAGAAGTGACCACATGGCTGAGATTCAAATGAATGGCAAAATTCCCAGGGGTATAAATCAACTCTGGATTCCAATCAGCGAAAGCTTTGATTTGTTGTTATTCAAGATACGTATACTGTGACAAAACATGAAATTCTATCTTCCTGCAATTTATGGCAGGGTCATAGCACTTTTGACTGATTATATTTTCCAAATGCTTTCAAACAAAAGGTTACAAAACAGCTCACTTCAGAAATCTGAATTATAATCTTATTTCTTATTCAGGACATTTAAAATGAACACATACCTCCTCATGGAAGCAGATACACTCATTTCTTTCTTGAACCTCTTCAAATTGCAAACAAATGAAATCAACTTTTATTCTTGTGTTCAAAGACTAGCATGTCAAAAATAAACTGGAATCAATACAACCCAAAGATGAAATTAATGAAATAGGAAAAGGGTTGAAGTCCAAACTTAGAGATGTTCATATTTGTGCCAGGAGAGCTGTGTTTCCACACAAAATTTGGATCCTATGTTCCTGGTAACCAAGCTGTAGCCCAAAGAGGAACATCTGTCCATTGTAATAAAGCAGTACATGGGGAATGGTTTTTGGATTATATCCAGAGCTGTAAAGACAGGTGTCTCCTATTCTTGGGTCTTGTGAATCTATCCTGGGATGAAGCTGATGGAAGCATCTGATGCTTAGCTCTAAAAAGCTCTCTCTTTAACCTAAGGATGGTTAACCTGTATGAACAGCTTGCAGGTCGCCATGTAGCTTTTGCTGTCGGAGCTCTGCTGCTCCAGGACAGGGTCCTAATTTCAATCTCACATTCCATCTCATTCAACCTTTGAAGATTGTCCTTTTCACCCGATCAGGACCAGATGGTATGAGCAAGTCTATGGTAAGATCAGAACATTTTAGTTTCTCATTCATTGCTAACATCCATAGTGTGAGAGAGTCATCCTTCAAAACGATTGGAACCAGGCCATTGGGGAAGAATGCTGGCATTCTTGGTTCATGGCCATAAGATCTTGTTGCAGTTTCTTATCTGTCAATGCCTGATCATCTGCAAAGAGTAGTTCGTTGATATTATTTCCATTCTTGGGTTTGGCTTCTTTGTTTATGCTGTCAGTGTAGGTCAGGGGTCTTCAAACCTGGCCCTTTTATGACTTGTAGACTTCAACTCTCAGAATTCCTGAGCCAGCCATGCTGAGGGGAAAGGGAGAGGTTTCCAAGCTGAGCCATGCTGGCTCAGGAATTCTGGGAGTTGAAGTCCACGAGTCATAAAAGAGCCAAGGTTGCCTACCCCTGGTATAGTTACTGTATTATGCTGACGGATATCTGCCCTCTCTCATGTAAAACTGGCCAGATTTCCCTGTTTATGTCTCATTATTCCCTGAAAAAAATGTTTTGTGGGGGGGGGCTTTGATGATTTCTCTGCAAAAAAACCCCCCAATTTTGTCTCCATCTCTATAGTCTTCCATTAAAAATGCCGAATTCTGTGGAGAAGATGAATTGTTTTTAACTATAAGAGGTGTTTGAGGTTGGAAGAGTAGTGTACTAATCCTTTCTAGAACAAAATAGGTCTTTCTTACATTCATAATATTACTTATTGAAAATTTGAGGCTCTGTAGATGTTGGATTTCAATATTTCAACAAGCCACATAATCCAGGTATTAGAAGTTGCTGGGCACATTTGTCATTCCTCTGCAGAGAAAGCAGCAATAACGAACAGGAGAATAATAATTAGAATTTGCTACTTGAAGCCACGGTCCTGCAGAGAATCCTGCTAATCCAGCTTCTGCAGGAAGGATGCAGAAAGGGATTCCTTACAGGACCACTATTCACTCAGTTACATTATGCAAGGTGACAAGAACAAATAAATATGAATCAATTCTCCAGCTACACTTTCCCTTTAAGCTTTCCCTTGAATTATGACTTTCCACTTTCAGGACTAAGCCAAACAATTTATACAAGTTACATAATTACTTCTCAGGATTCAGGAATTCACATGGGGTCCAGACACCATTGTCTTTGCTTTTTAACCTTCCTGTATTTAATCTCCATTTCTATCCGATAAGGAGAAAGAGAACAGTCTTGCATTCATTTCTCTTGGTACAACCAATAACTATTTATCTGTAGTGGTGTAATGTGGAAGGATCCATTACTAAATACTCCAATATTCCCATTTTATTTTCCTTTTTAAAAACTAGTGAGTTCTGAACTTGAGTACAGCAACAGGGTCGGGATGTGGAGTCTTAAAACATTTTCCTCTTGCTGACTTTCATTGATCGAAACACATATGCACATCTCCTATTAATGACTACTCCAAGCTTGCCAAATTTGGCTCTTAAATCACTCCTCACTGAGCTTGGTTTCCAGGCCACACAGAAACTAGATATCCCTGAAAGAGTCAGCCCCTAGCCCTAC